GCAATGAATTATTAAAGAGAGCAGCATTATCAAATATATTGAAGTATATGGAATCCCTAATAGATTTGTATCATTATCATTATGTAAGAAATACACTTGTAAATTTGAAATAGAGCAATAAACGCACATACTATGAATAGTAGAGAAAATCGGACAACAGAAATAAGCGCATTTATGTCACAACTACTTTAAAAAACAAATGTATATTGTTATGTACATATATTCTTTAAGCTAAGTTCGCATCACTGAATAGAGAGTTTATGATACCATGGCCTTGTTTATAAAACAACCAACTTGCTAAATTATTATTTATAGAATAATTATTATTTATAGAAACTTATGTTCAAAAACACTTCTTTCCAAACACAAAATTTTACATTTCGATTTTTGTCGCTGAATATCACGAGGGTCGGCCCAAACGAAACACATCGGAATTATCGTACTGTGTTCTAATGCTTTTTCTAATTCCCTCGTATTTTGCTAATCCGCTAATATTTCATTGTATTAATTACCAAAAACTGTTGTCCGTTGACAGTTGCTTTTATTTTCATGCGCTTCTATTACATAGCGCCGGTTACCTCCAAAAATTTTATTCGCCATCCTTATTTTGTTAAAGCTTTGAAAAATATTGTTTCCCATTGACTTGGGATATTTATTTGTAAACTTGTATTGTGAACTACAAGATCTTAATGGGGCCAAACCTAAGCAAATTAGAACATTGCTATGCGAGAAACTTTTGGTTTTGCGTATAAATATAACTTAATATTTCATTTCTTCTTTTCTTCTGAATATTTATAGTATCGAAATTTGAACCACACTACGCGCTGAGTAATGAAGCCGACACTTTGCCGTTTCGATGAGCTCTGTTAAGGCCTTATATTTTTCTCATCGTTGATTACACCTATGTATAGCGTTGTAATTAATAATTTTGAAAGAAGTAAATACCAATTTTTAAATCTCGTCTTCACATAAGAAATCAGCATGTTGTACAGGATGTATTATTGCATTTCGAATAAAGTGAGTAAAAAGAATACAAGATGTCTCAAAACTCACGTAAAATTTATGTTCTGCTCCATTTGTGCAATACACTGTTATCGACGAATTATTGTTGCTCATAGAAATCTGTGTTTTCGTTAAAATTACTTCCTGCATAAATTTTGGGACACCCGATATAACAAAACAAAGGAGAGAAAAAAACTTGCGTAGTTAACGGCACAACAATTTTCAATAAAAAAATTTTGATAAATAAATAAAATAAGGATTGTTTAGCAAATTTTTAAGTTCGCTTCCGTCATCGTAGGACGCATAAATATCTTTCTCGGTAAATTCGTATGGTGTCCATATTATATGTTGTATTCTGTGATTTTTTCTTTTTTTTTGTAATGGTATAATGTCTGCTAAACTTCGAAGAAGAGATTGGTTTATTTTTATAGCATCTCACCTTATGTAACCGAAGCCGAAAAATACTGTGTACCAATATTTTATAGTTGAGCTATCAAGTCCAAAGACTGATTATCCTGTAATAACCATATTAACGGCTTATTTGATTATGTCGAAGTTACATAATGCGATTGTACTTTGTAAAGGAAAGAAAACTAAAAATAATATAAAGCGCTGGCTTACCATTGGGCTAAGTTGTATAAAACACCTGCACTGCTTGCAAAGCTTACTTATTAACTATCCAAATAAACTTGAGAAAAATCCGAAGTAATCTTTAAATTAATAAGAGAGAACTGCTAATACAAACTTCTAGTCTCAAGAGTAGAGTTACAGGATATTTTAGAAACAAGCTATGAATATATACAGTTCGAACATGTTGAGCAAGCACACTAAATTCCAACTTTCGGAGAGCAATATTACTTAAGATTTGAACCATATTATATCGTTACTTTAAACCATTTTAGTCACGTCAGTGTATCTCTCAAGGTGGAAGCACGACAAGCTGCTACCAATATTGAAGTGAGACTTTAATTTCGGTTCATAGTACGCCTGCGATCTAGTGAAGGCCTTAGAGTGACGGATTAGCATTTTTCTAATTATCATATTGGCATGGGTATCAAGTGAAAGTGTAAACAAAAGGGTTTGGAGAACAGAATACGCCGTGCTAAATTAGATACGAGGGCCATCATAAAGTGCCGAATAATTTTTTTCTTAAGAATGTTTTCAATATGGACCTTAAGCTTAGTAACTTCAAATAGTAGCAGAAACTATGAAAGAGAACTCAATAGGCGTAAAATGGTTAATTTATTGCTCATCGGTAAACGAACTTGTGCGCCAAATTTTAGTTTCCTATCTTTATATTTGCGATTGCCATGATTCACGAAATTTACCAGTGAAATTGATGAATTTCATTAAAAATAGATACATGCAAAAAGTTCGCAAATCTAACGTTAGATGAAATGACATGGAGAGACGGATGTGACTACCAACTATTGCAATCCCAAACAATCTTGACGGTTGCTAATTCGTGGTAGATATTTTTTTAAATCTCGTCAATGTGGTTATCAAATAAGCCGGGTTTGAGAGTAAAATGCACATTGTAATATATTAAAAGATATAAAATGAATTCTATATAAAAATTTTTTCTGAAATAGGCTTTTATTTAAGTGAATCAAAAGGTGCAAAAAATTTTTGTTCCACCCACGTCTATGTGCTATGTAAAAACGCTTGTTACGTTAAAAAAAAGAATAGAATTTCTTACTTATTAAAATCATAAGCAATATATTAAGTTCGATAACAGCACTTCACACAAATCCATCTTTTGGAATACTTATCGATTCAAAATAATTTTTTAAACTGAAGTAAGATATTGTGTTCCTGTGACTTCCCATATGACGTTAAACTGGCGCAAGATGTTTTATAGTCAGACTTGCCAGATTGCTCTATTGCTCTATTTTAAACTGTTGTATTTATATTAACTTCATCAAAGTCATTTTAAAATATTTCATCAAAGGCTTACAACATTTTCATATCATCTATGTATATGTTTTCTAGACAAGCAGATTAATTGACTCTTGATACAGTCGCTGGTAGATCACGAAGAAGATTTCACGAAGACGCATTCAGTATGTGCCACAATACAGAATATCACTTATCCGTGAGCTTATCTGTATATGAAGGTCGATTATAGTTCATTATAATTCAATAATTACATAAGTATGTCAATATAATACCGGAATTTTTGCACAAAAAATACACGCTTATTGTATGAAAATGGTAAAAAATATTCTTTTCTAAGCATTGCCCCAATACCAGCTGTACATTTTTCTTATCTGTATGACAATTTATGCGTACGTCGTCTTCAAAAATGTTCTCCGTTTTGCTGCAAACCTTTCGTGGAGTGGTTTTTTTTCACATCTTCGTGCGAACCAAAACGTAGTTTAACAAGTTGGTAATCCATCATGGTGTAGAAATGAAAGCACTAATCCGCATGGACTAGCATTTCTCCTTTGAATGCTTCCAACGAGTCGCGAATCAGTTTTGCAATATGGATGGATGGGAAATGATATTTAAAAAAGGGTGCTTATGTTGCGGTTTACGATATTTTGAACAGGGAACTCTTCAATGCTCTTATTGTTAGTCACGTGTAGTATCAAACGTTTTACGTTAGGATCCTATCGGATCAAGGCATAGTTTTTTGAACATAACGATTTGTTTTGCGATAGATCTGAAGGGTACGTCTGGACTTATCCATGAATTATTGGGTGTGGCATTCTGAAAATAAATCCACTTTTCATCCCACGTTGTGGTATGGCGTCAATGACGCGGTTCGTCAGTAAGCTAGAGCCATCTATGGGCATAAGTCATCCGGTTTTAGATTCCCATACCTGGTACAATTCAATATTGTTTAAGCATAATTAAATTTTTGATTACTATAAATTGCTGTATTGATTGAAGGAATTTTTCTTCAAATAGAACATTATATAACGTCTTTAATATATTCATTCCGGAGTTAAACTTCGTATGACCGATATGCTCTAATGTTGACGATGTATTACTAAACTCCCACCTTTCTTTTTATTTGTCTTTGTTTTTTTCATTCAGATCAAGCAGATTTTGTGCCACCAGGTTTTAACACACTTAGATGTTTCAATTTCTTCGCTTTTATTTTATACTTTCATGCTGCTAAATATCTTCTGTACTATTTCCTATTGAGACATAAACTGTCATGCCTCTTGAACATGTACATTTACAAAAGGAAAACAAAATCAGTAATAATTTAAGCCAAACCATCAAAAGTTGGCAGACATAGGTTTGTTTTTTCATGCCCTACACCCAAAAGACCAGGGATAATAGCCTTGATATTTCCTTTGTACCATTCAGAATCTCTGTATAACAAGAGACGTATTATACTGTATCTGCTACACTCTACAGCATGGTGAAGTTTATATATTATGCAGTGTCTGTCTTTATATTCCTTCATCCTTGTTCTTTCCTCAAACGATAACACAGGGTGAAAGGTAAGTTGATTAATTTATACAGTTCTAGATGCTCTGATGCTTTAGGCTAACGAGTAGACAAAATATTGAAACCTGACGTTTATCGAGAATATACTTACTTTATGAATTACTGGAAAGCTAGGTATTAATTCTATATAAAGAGTGACCAAAATTTACCCAAATCGCAAAGACATCAAAATTGAAGTCCTGGATATCTAAGGTGTAGCTTCCATATAGAATTCTTTCAATTATTCCTTCATAAATACGTACGATGTGACTTAAAGGAAGTATGATTGAAATTCATGCGGGAAATACATCCATTTACTTAATTTTCGGTATTTGTTTTCTCTGATATAAGCATTAGCTTTCAACATGTGAGTAAAATTACACTGAAAAAATTCGTTTTGATACTTTTGTTTACATTTGCTTTTATAGCTGAAGTTTCAAATAATGAATGCTTTTACGGTTTGGTTTCGTAAAATGAGTGTTATATTAGTGGGGACAAGTGACTGTTTAAAAAAAGTTTTTAAAATTTCTTTTATTTTAATTTTATTTACATACCTGCATGGCTTGCACCAAGAAGACTGTTGATCTAACCCAAATCTGGCCCGACATTTCTTTAAATTGTTGTTTCCTAAATCGGTTGAACGCAATTCGAAATGAGAATACAAAAAGAAAGAGGAGAAAGAGAAAAAGAAAAACATACAAAAAAGAAAACACAATGTTCAATATTAAAGGGATACAACTTTGGAACGTTAGTGAGCGAGGTGGTTTTCTGTTAGGATGTCTTGATGAAAGCTTCTCTAATGATTACAGATGGCAAAGATATGTAAATTTTCTACGCCAAGTTTAATTTTACTTGGCCATCTATTATCATTTGATCAACACAACCAACCACCAGTATTACATACACGTCTACAACTACACGGTGGAACATTAGGAAAATGTATTAATTAATTATGTTCTTTGCGAGAGAGAGACAGAGAGAAAAGGAATTATTGCCTGGAAGATAGACACAGACATGCAGTTAAAATAGTTTTAATAATAATAACACACCGTATAGATTCTACATCTTGAATACATACTACCAGTTGAAATGAGCATGCAGTCACATGACAAAAAACATTCAAAAAGCGCTTTAAAAATTTGCGAAATTAACTTTAGAAAATTACAAAATCACACTATGAACTAAAGGATGTTGGGGTGAAGAAAAACAAATGAAACAGCTACATTCGCTTTGAAGCGAAGTTTAAATATCCACCACTTAAATAAACAAACGAAAACTTCGGAATATGTTTTGTAATTACTGTCGCGTGATTAATAGGGGTTAGCAATACTTCACGCATAATTTCGCATTGACATTCTTCAAATATTTTTTAAGGTGAGTCGATTATTGAGTATCTTCTATGATTTGTATATTATTAAAAAGACTTTTATAAACTCTTTTGTACTGTTTCATCTATTAGTCGGATCTCTTCAAGCTATTGCCAAAATTTAATGGTCTAGATTAGGCATAAACTGTAAATACTCAATTTTTACGGCTTTAGAAGTATAAAAAATCAGACATATCGGGTCAAAATGTTTCAAATTTTACGACCGTACATGTATGATAATGTATGGAGTGTATATGCCTTAGTGCTAACAATGGAACGACATAATAGGCATTAACCGCTCAATGAAGGATTTAGAAAGCTAAGAAAAAATGCAATATGAAATTGTAGGAAATATGAGCCATCGAAGTATAACTTATTTTGTCTATAAATTATATTCACTTTTTTGCGTATTTCGATTAATACTTTCGTTCTTTTCGTGTGGTCTTGGTCGCTTTAATAAAGAGATCCGGACTTTTTACGATTTGTGTTTTAATGCAATAATAAGGCATGAAATTTCATATTAACATAAAAAGGAAAACAAACTGTTATAATTAAGCAAGCCCAGATTGTCACACCTACCAAGAATTTATGATTTCTCATTTCACATCACACTTTGTTACATATTCATTTATATCTTTTAGTATGGTGGATAGAGTAATTTTAAAATTTTAAAAAGAAATATTTTTTTTAAAATGTGAAGTAGTTAATACATTTAAAAATCTAAAAAAGGCCCAATTAAAACATAACGCAAAAGTGTTAAAAAGTTTAAAAATTTTCATATATATACATATATGTATACGCGTATATACATATAGTTAACTGCAGTGAAAGTGATTGCTCGGAGCCTTCGACCGCATTTAAATGGTACCTAAAATGTTCTAATTATTTTTAGGAAACAAACAATAGGAAATTATACATAACTACAAAATGTCGCGTAAATCTTCAATACGTATTATTTTTAGCAAATGCCAACCCTCAAACGACGGCTGTCGAAATGTCATGTCACTTCGATTACTTATGAGTTACAGTGGTTTCAGGAACGCTATTTTACTCATTTTGGAAACTGAGTTTGTAAGACATTCGAAATTGAAGTTGCAAGGAATAGCTGAAATACTGAGGATAACATAAGGCAGTGTAGCTATTAATTTGCGTGAAAATTTGGGCGTGAAAAAGCTGCGTTAGGCGGTTATCCCCTCCGAGTGGAACAGAAATATCAACATCTTATTGATGCTAAGTTACATGGATTTGAGTTTAAAATCCTCGCCCACACATCGCATTCTTCATATCCCCCAACTGCTATTATTTCCAAATCTCAAAACGAGCTCGAACGAAAGACAAAACAAAAAGAAGAAATTGTTACAGAAACTTTAGACTGATTGTAACACACACTTGGCGGAGACTGTTTTAATGAATGAAGTCGAATTTTGCAAAAAAAATTTCTCCCGGGAATCACCAGCCGATGTATTAAACATTATGAAAAAAACGATGCTCATAAGTATAATTTGAAACATTTTCTAAGAACACTATATCAGTTAACCTAAAGAGCGAAAAGAATTTATTTGCTTTTGGCCAGACTATGCGTTATTTATACATGCTTTCACTTTTTGTTCTTAATCTAACCTGTTTTATACATTTTATTTCATTCACAAAATCAAAAGTTCTTTCTAGTCGTAAGAAATAGTTTTTACTAGAAACCAACTAAATATGCTCTGATGAATTAATCAAAGCACATACGCTTTGTTCGGACGATGCTTCAAATAAGTCTTTTTCAGCGGGTTGATGTACAAATATTGGAAATTTTAACAGCGTCTATATGAATTTTGCCAATAAAGCAAACAAACGAACAATGATAAAACTAGGCAAATCTAAATCTCTACAGATTATAAAGTCCATAAAAAACCCGCACTTGAATGACAAAATTAATGATTCATTAAACCAACAGCTGCAGGTAATACAAAATTTAGCAATTGTGATATTCACTACAGAAAATTTAGTGAACTTATATCTTGTCGGAATTATGTAAATCAGAACAAATTGGGATAAAACCTCTAGGCTTTAAGATTTAAAGAGTACAAAATTATAAAGTATTTTATTCAATAACTTGCGACTTCTAAAAAGCATCGATTTAAGGTTGCGTTCGACTATTTTTTAGACTCCTCGAAAACTTTGGTGCGAATAACTTCGATCCCTGATTATAAGAAGATAGACTTTGAACTACCAAAGCCGATGTTTCTTTCTTATATTTGCAAATTGCTTTATATGCTTTGTATTATGGCTAAGCACAAATGCTTCAACGGGTGAAATGGTAGATAGTCTAACAATTTCAGAATTTTATTGTGGTGCTAAGAATAGTAACTTTGGTTATACCAATTATACAACCTGCTACATTATAAGACTTATAAAGCAGGATGATTTTGTAATCATTGAGCAAATGTGCTTGGTTTACGCTTTCTTTCTTATCATAAAGTTTCACTCCAAAATGAGCGGATGCACATATATAAACCAATAATTCTTGCCGCAATCAACATAGGAAAATGGAAAATAGTTGAAATATACATACACTTTACAGTCTATCAGACTTTAGTATGTTCACTGCATTTAACTTTAACTATCTACCTTTAACGAAAGACCGCAAAACTTCTAACAACACATTAAGCATTCTCTAACCTACGGAATAAATGTATGTAAGCAATATAAAATAAAAGTAAATATAAATGCATAGCTTTATGGAAAACACCCATATTGGAAGCAGATATTTAACTTTCAATCATCTTTATTAATGACGACAACATTTTTTACTTTCAACTAATGTAATATATGTTGCAATCCTAATTGCAATAATATTAACTCGTGTCATCCTAAATATATTAAATCCGCATTTTTTATTTCACTGTCAGAGTATCTGCAACGAAAGCTTTTGGTAGAATGGTTCTTCTGTAACTGATGTACCTTAAAGATCTCAACACATACATACATAATTATCTAGGACTAAAATAATAAACATAGTGCATGTGCATTGCCTATAAATTTAAAGAAATCAATATAAATTCCTTGTGGACAGTTGAAATATTTTTTTCACACATCCCATGTTTAATGACAGTTACAAATTCATTTTTTGATTATCAAAACAAATGGTCACATAAGTTTGTATATCGAGCAGCAATTACATTATCATAAAATATTCAATTTAGCACATAGAACTCATAATGGAGACCTATGGCTTTCTACAACAAACCTTATAGAACTGAAGAAGTCTTGTTCTTATTTCATAAATATGAAATATAATTTGACATTAATCGGATCACGACATATGTTTGAGTCAGATTTGAACTTAGAACTTCAATGTTTTGATTAGTTCTGAAGGGATTTAAAAAAACCTGATCTGTGCATAAACTCGTTTGGTTCTGTATAAGTGAATTTAAACTATAAATAAAAACAATAATATTTTAAACAATTCCATATTTTTTGTAAGTGATTGACATCGTGGTATGATTCGTTATAAAAACATTAATTAGAGTTAATAGTGTCGAAATGTAGAATTTTGTATAGGATGTCACAGCTTTAAAGATATATACTAGGGAACATCACTTCTTTCAATTGCACAATTTTGTTTTGCAAATTTTTAGAGGGATCTTATTGTTTTTAAATTTTTATTTTGCAACAATAGCGTGCCTGCGAACACTCGCCTTTTTAACAGATATTTCGTGTACGGTTGTATTCCGCGTATTTTGCCCGGATTTCGTATATGTGAGAAGACATAGCCAAAAAAAGATTACATATGTTTTGAAACGAACTTAGCGTAGTTCCTACCACATTAAAATACGTAAAAGTTATGCGAAGACTGCACGCGCTCTTACAAAGCTCAAGTGCCACAATTGATGTATGTATAGTTGGGAGATAATCGTAGCTACTTTCAAATTTAATTTCTATCAGTAAACTAAGATTCTGTTTGCAAAGATTTCATGTTTTCAGCTATTTCGACCGTTCCGCTTTGCAGAAGTTCCAACAAAAAACCGTTGATCAAATATATATAAATGGGATTTGTGAATGTCCTCTTCGATCGTATTGACCAGACTATTCTTCCTGGAAAATTTGTTATTAATCTTCTTTCTTCGATAACTAAACGAAGAATGTTTTTTTGTATTTTATATATATATATATAATATATTGCATTGCATAATATATCAATATATATATATATTACATACGACAATATATATGCATACAATGATATAAGTTATTGGTGGATTATTCGAAATTT